CCCCAAAACCCCAAAACCCCAAAACCCCAAAACCCCTTATTGCAAATTTCTAGTTTTTAATAGGGATTATTAAATTAACAGATGCAAATATTAAAATATATAATTCAATCGTTCACTTAGATTTATAATTTAATCATAACATGATAGTTTTAGCTTGGATTTGATATTCAAGATTTTATTAGCAATTTGCTTAGTGGTGAGTTGCCTTTTCTAATGGTAAGTGAGTTCAGTGCATTCTTGGAGATCTTGAAATAATTTAGCTACTTTAGTTCTTTCTCTTAGAACTTCACTTCCAGTTGAGAGGTGGATTGCTTGGCTGACACATTATTTATAATCTAAGTGCTACCTAAGTTTAGCAAAGCTACATTTTCATTCCCATCTAAAATAGTTTTTCTTCTAATTGTGTTTCTATTTAAGTCTGAATGACCTAAGTTGATTATTGATACATTCTCAGTGTGAGTCATTAGTTAACTATGGATCTTTTTGTTGTTTCTTTTATCTAGGCTCTAGTGCTTTACAGGGGAATCTTTCTTTTTCTCTTACTTGCTGATATGGTGATAATGCTTTTTAATTTCAGTCACCAGTTATTTAGTTATAGTAGCAACTTTAGACTGCTATTAGCCGTATAAATAGCAAGTTGCATATTAGAATATTTATTAAATCAAGTCCTCTGAGGATTTTGAAAAGGGAAATATCTGCTTAAAGCCGTTTTACTGTTAATGCTGTATTGTTGGCATACTTATTCTCATCATATTATACTCATGAGATTCGCTTTCATGATTGAAGTTTTGCCTTAGAGATCTTTGGATTTTTTAGAACATTTAGGTTTTAAGACCTGGTAGAATTGTATTATTGCATAGGAACTGATCGGTTCTCATTTGCTTGACAATGTTTAAGCTTTTTCGTAGGTCCTAAACTCTCGTCTAAGAAAGATAATACTATCTTGTATCTGTAATAGGAGGATTAAATCCAGATAAGCCATAATCATCAATTGGATTGATAAAGTTGTTCATGTTTTTGCTGTACCTCTATGATTTGCCCATTGATTCTTCATTGATGCTTTGCAGTTTGAATTTCTATGATTTTAGTAAGCTATTCTTATGATCCTTTAATTTAACTGGAGTCAAATCTCTATAATTATTCGATACTTATCCTCCTGGATTACTCTATGTTATTGAGTGGTTTCCTATAAGTTATCTCGTATGAAAAGGACTCTATACATCCAATAATACCTCTGCTTGTCTTTGATAAAACTTATTTTCTGAGGCAAGTGTAACTTATGTTTGGCGATTTCGATAACTAGTACTTTCATAGGTTCTATTAAGTTGTAAACTTTCATTAAACACCAGGTTAATCATATCTTTAATTAATTTCGGTTTAATTAATTTGTCTACCTAGCAATCTATTTGTAGCTAAGGAGGTGAATTAATTTCAATTAGCCAAGGCTTTAAATTACTGTCAACTAGCACATCGAATCCGAATAGCTCAAAGCAGTTCTCTTCAAGACCTTTCATTAAACTATTGTTGCCAGATTCAGAACACATACTAATCAAGACCAAAGTAATAATGCATTCAATCTAATTGAACAGCGCATTATAATTTAGGTTTTCTTGATAAAAGTACTCTCTTAATTGATTTAAAGACCATTTAGATCCCTAACCAATAATTGGCTTGTTTGTATCAATATTTGGCGAATGCTTATTAATGGAGGTGTTCGTCAAATGAATATATTTATTCTATGTATTGGATAAGGAATACTTTTGGGTAGAAAATCGTACGAGGCCCTCCTCGAAGATGTGAATTTATAGAGGACATACCTTAGTCACTACTACATACAGCCTCAAATCCCATTTATAGCCACCAATTAACAAAGGGTTTGTTATGTACCTTTAGACAATGTAGGGCTGCTCAAAATTTAATTGGTTTATATCATTCAATAGAAATATGCCACGACCTCAACTTAGGTCAGTTGGCTTGCAAATCCAGATTTCTCTGTCACTATTTAAGCTCATCTTATTATTGATATCATCCTTAATCGATACATCATAAGTCTGCTGAGGAATTTTCTGAGTATATGTATCCAAAAACTTTGAATACTCATTTGGCAAAGTGAATGTAAGAGGAGCAAAGTTGTATACATTTCCATACATATTCTAAATTAATAAGATTAGCATTGTTGTGAAAATTATTACTCTGTATTTCTTAAGGAATCTATAAAGCTTATCTTTGACAGTGAGGTAGGCGGTTTGAGGAAAGTGGTTATACTTCTACACAATGGCTTAGTTAATGGTTTCAAGATCATTCTGTCAAGGTCTACCCTTTATAATATTTAACAGCTATCATAATCCTCACCTGTGACCCCATAACAGATTAATGTCCTCTGAGTCATGCTTAATTTCATCATATGGATCCCAGCCTATCATAAAGATTAGACTAATATTATGCTGATTTAATTACCTATTTCTATAAGGATTTTCTTAAGTAGAGTGGGTACTTTTTCAGGTTTGAATACGTATCTGCCTTGTAAATTTCGATCCATTTCAAGAGTTTAATAATTAAGAATTTTAATTTTATTTGAGAAATCATTGAAAAACTCGATTGTCGGTTTTAATTACTTCTGTTTACAGATTTTCATTTAAGAGTGATCATGGGGTTTTGGGGTTTTGGGG